TGCATCGGGGAGGGAGGTGACTGGTTGACTTGGGGTGTACCCCCAGGGGAGCCTGTTCACTTTCCTCCAGCGGTGCTTGAGTCATACGCCAGCCACATTTCTCTTCAAGTGGCCCTTTTTCGTAGTGCCTCGGTACGCAGCCATCGACCAGTACGGTGACTTCGCTGCTCTACTCGACTTCCTTGTGGGGGTTGACCTCGGTGAGTTCGGTGTGCCCTCACTCCTGGAGGAGATCTGGGGAAGAACTCCGTTTTCTCAGCCCACAAGGGTGCGATTCCCCTGTTGTTCAACGCGTCGCAAGCTTTAACGAGGGTGTGCATCGTGACACTTCTTCCACGACACCGTGAATGAAATCCTTGCCTACGATGGGGAAGAGGGCGAGATCCCCAACAAACCCGGCCGAGAGTAAGGATGTGTGCCAGAAGTGCCTCGCAGGAAAGCCAGGGCACACCGGGCACCCTACAACGGCGGACAACTGCCTTCTCTACAGCGTTGCCAACCCCACTGAGGCCAATGGCGCAAGGACGACGACAGAGCACGCCGCGGCCGAGGACACTGAAAGCTGAGCCTGAGTCTGAAGCCTTTCGGGGACCGTCCTTTTCCCTTTTCAGCATCGGGGAGCTGGGCAACCATGCAACAACTGTGCTATCGGGGACTTGCCTCACGTCACTTGATCTTTCGGGTAGCAGCTGTTGCTTTTGCTTTGCTGGGGATGCCCCTTTCAGGTTCCGAGTTCCCTGCTATGGGTCAGGTTGGCAAGCCTTTTCAATTCGGCACGACTTGTGCTGCCTCTCTCCTTTGGAGTCCTTGCAGTCTCGGGGGCCAAACCTTCGTGATCAACTCATGCAAGTTTTTAGTAGACGGGCCGCTGGAGCCTTCCACAACAGTCCTTGCCGGCCTCCGCTCGAGGCATATGTACTTCAGGGACGCCCCCGCTGCATCATGCTTTGCTAATTAGCTAGACGGGCCGCTGAGCCTTCCCAAAGTCTTGTTCCTTAGCTTGCAGAATTTGTTTCGTGCTTTCAAGTTGCTTGCCAACGTAGCTCCGACCCCTGAGAGTGCTGTTTTATCCCAATCGTGCTTTCCTGAGGCCGCCACCCGAGGCAGATTTCTGACCTTTAGGTGTCTTGAGCTGCTTTCCCGTTGGAGTGATTTCTGCCTCGGTGGTGCGCGCACACAAAGTTCATTGTCTCCCGCACCTGTCGGGGGCGCACCTGCGCGCGGTGTAGGGGGTCAAACCCCTGCACCACAGCCCTGACGAAAAAAAAAATCGTGTGGTCCTTTTGGCTCAAATCGACCTGCCGCCCCGAGGGTTTTCTCTGTCCTTTTGGGGGGGTGGATGAGTGGGAGGAGGCTTCCAACCACACGTCGCAACATCTCTACTCACGAGGGCCCAGGGGATGGGCCAAAACTGTCCCCCGAACTTGCCTGGCAGGGGCCCAGCAGTAGGGGGCGCAGCATGCTGCCACATAGCGGACCATGGGGGGATGCTTTTGGTCCAGGCGAGAGCATCAAAGACCTGCTGATGGAGAACCTCGCGCAGCCGGTGACCCTGCACCTCCCTCTAACGCGCGACCGAACGCCGAACGCAGGCGGATGGACGGCATGGCTGAGCAAGTGGCAAGGACACCACGAATGAGAAGTGCACCCGCACGGCGGACGAGAACGACGAGCACACCGAACAGGGAAACAAACCCCACGAAGGAACCTCCTCCAACGAAAGACCAGGTCTCAAGGACTCGCAAGCCTTCATCGTCAATGGGGTCAGGACTTGTCTGCGGTGTTTGGTGGGACCAGGCAAAGCAGAAGAGAACAGGGCAAGGGGCACTACCAATAGCACGAGCACAACTAAGTGATGGCTCGGGAGCTTTGTTGCAAGCAGTGCACAAGAACCAGGGGAGACCACCCTTCTCCAAGAACCGTCTCACACGGTTACAGTATGATGGCCACAGGCCAACTTTCCCACACCTATCCGAGCACAAAAAAGATAGAAACAGAGGGGCCAGCTTTGTGCAGGGAACTCATAATTCCTATAGCTACCTTGACCAACACCTTGGCGTGCCACAGCGGCCAGCAGAAGGCTGGCGGGGGCGTTAATCTAGCACGCGTTTGCATCTCCCGAGGCACCCGATTTGCTGAGGGGCATTCAGCCACTTCCCGATTTCTGTACGGCCGAGTAGCTCGGGGCACCTGAACTGTTGCGATGATATCTGTTTGCTTTGCAGGCTTGCTGTTAGGTGTTGTGATGGTTTCGGTGCGTGAGCTTTGTTAACAAGGGGCACCAGCTCAAAGGGGCGCAAGTGGTAGCAAAACTTGCCCCCACGGAGGCACGCCTTTCCCTTCGCATCATCCGAACGGCCGCTCAGTTGTACAGCTGAGCCCATCCCAACAAAATGTTGGATGGGGTAGCGCGACAGCGCGGGCTGCAAGGACTGCTTGCAGCTCAAGCCCCAAGCAAATCAAAGAGGGAGAGAGAGAGAGAGAGACCGGCTATCATATTCGACGCGCCCCCAAAGCCCCATAACACGTGAGGGGCCACTAGGCCAGGGGACTTTACTCGTCCCCTACGCCCAATGAAAGAAAGAGACCGGCTTGTGACTGGTTGTTCCCTCCAACAGGCTTCGAGGAGCTTCCCTTCGGCATGAACTCACTCTAGTTGTTGAGTGTTCCTTGTGTGCGCAGCATGAAGACGCGCGGTGTAGGCGGGCTACCCCCTACACCCTAACCCTGACGAAAGAAAGAGACCGTTTTGTGAAGTGGGGCCGCTTCCCTCCGAGGCGATGCGCCCGAACACTTTGCACGACCCGTGAACACAAGTAGGAAAGAGCCTATAGAAGCAGCAGCGGGTTGTCTATTTTGTGCCTACTTCCTGGAACAACTTGCTCCTGGAGCTCGCATCTTATCTTGCCGAAACAGGCAATCCATCACAGCTTGGGCCCAAAGCCTTGAAACTCTTCAAGCCGTTCGCATTATCAAGCACGGAGGGCCTTGTTCAAGGGCCCAGGCAGTCTTAAGTCGCACGCACTCGGCGAGGCTCTTGCTGCTTTCAGGGACCTCGACCCTCCGGCGGTCTCAACGCCGGAGCTCTTGGAGGCCAGACAGCACGAGTTCATTGCCGCACGTGAGGGCGGTCGTACTGTATAGCAGGGACTGGAGACGAAAGGGAGAATCGCAATATGAAGGGAGACCACCATGCCAGTTCGAGCATGTTCGGCACTCCGCATCACGAGTTGCAACATCGGATGCTGGTACTTGCATTCTTGGATGCTGTGTCTTCGCACAGGGAAGTCGGGCAAACGGCAAGAGGCCTGACTTCTCCTCATAATCCACCTGTGAGCAAGAGCCCAAAGATCAACAGCATTGACATACCCGGATCTCAAAGCGTAGCTTTGCAGGCGATAGCGCAGTGCGAGCTCATGTTGGACACGGCGTCCTCGGCGCACCGAGCTGTCGAGGTCATGCAATGAATCGTTATGCTTTTAGTATACACACTGTAAAGGTCAGTTATTTCTTGGTGGTGAAGCACCCATACTTTGTCATATTCATCTTAAGTCTGGGTCACATATCATCTGAAACCCATGCATTGGCATGATTTGGATGTGCTTGAGGGATCAGATCTACAGCCGAAACAGGCATGGGCTCAACATGATTGCAGGGACGTTTTGTCTGAATGCACCGAGAGCTGGAGTGTTATCCTGCATGCATTGAAACACTGATTATGTTGAGTTATCCTTTGTCACCTTCCAACTCGTGGTACATGGCTGTCGCAGCAAGGAAATCCCTGTCGCAAGTCCACTGCCGTCCTCGCCGATGTTTGTGTGACGCGTTTTCAAAGCCTCATACATGCTTGGTGATTGATGCTCCAGCACAGGAATTAATCCACATTGCCGACTTCAATCTCAATGCTCCCCTGCTTTGCTGCTCTGTGCTGAAGGCGGCTCGCAATGCCGTCGCCCTGGCCCCGGGAGCGACGCTGACACTGCCAGAGGCACAAGCAGAATCAGCTTCATTGGTTTACCTGGCTCCGGGGCTTCGTCTTTGTAGACGAGAGGGTTCTGGTCATCCGAGCAATCCCGGGAACAGCAAACAGTAAACTTGAGTAAACACGGTCGAGACAAAGGTGACCCTGTTGACCTCCGACTCAGCCACATGTATAGTATAGACGTAGCGCATATAAATCTGCGGCCTTTACAGCTGAGCCCTTGCTGATTGCCAGCGGCATCGGTTTCTTGCGTTTTGGGCTTGCCGGACGCGTGCGTGGTGTTGCCATGTCAACCCGGCAGGCGAAGCAGACGCTAGCGCGAGCGTTGATGAGTGCCTTCCGCGTTCCAGAGGCCATCGAGACGTACCGACAGGCCGTCTCCTTTGTCGTAGGACTCCATTACTACATGAAAAGCCGCACACGGCCGTTGCCACAGCTACTTGTGCAGCCTGCGCCAAGAGGCCTTCCGAGCAGTCTGCATGTGCACGGAAAAGGATCATTCAATTGAGCCGATCGCTCAGTCGAACCTCCCGACTGCAGCGGGAATTCATGCAGCCACTGGAAGAATAGATTGCCATCGGGTGCTATACGTGTCGAAGGTGCTATCGATTCCAATTGTTGTTCGTGACCGTGCGCTTGTTACGTTTGGTTATACGTTTCCGCTGCGATGGCCTCATCTTCGCAAGCAAAGGGTTGCCTCTATGCGTACCTCCCTTCAGCACCGGCCAGGTCCTGACTCTGCGTCCTGGCGATGCGGAGGCGAGTGCAGAACTTTCCGAGGCCACGGCCGCACTGAAAGCCCACGAACGACGCTTGGCGACGCTGCCTGGAACTGAGGACGGGCAGGTCAGGGCTGAAGGCTAGTCTAGTCTAGTGATCCTGTTTGTGAGTCACGACATGTTTTCGATTCACATTGTACACCCTGTGACAAACCTTCTACTTGTAGGTGGTGCTCGTCGCTAGAGCTAGAGGGAAAAACAATTCAGTAGTGCCTGTGCTAAGAATTCAGAACCAGCCCAGAGGAGGATTGGGCGGCGAGGCGCCGCCGGCTGCTCGAGCAGGTTCGAGCACAGCGCAGGCCCAACTGGAAGGAAGCGGACTGGAAGGCTGGATTATCTGGAGTTCTGAATGCGATCTCGCTGTGTTCGGGCGGACGTTGGTGGTCGCTCTGTTGTAATTATAGTCTCAGCATATCTCAGCCATTGGATTTGATTAGTGCTGTTCTGGCATGACAGGTCCACTCCTTCGCTCGCTTGAACTTGGGCGCTATCTATGGCCGCTGCATGGACAACATTGCAAGGGTTGATGTGCAAGATGAGAAGTACAAAAACTTCGGGCGGGAGTATCAGAGCAGATCAGTTCCCGCACTGATCAATGGCGCAATGAACAGATGGCCCGCAATGGGCCGCTGGAGCATGGAGAACTTTGCAGCGGATTTCGGCCATCAGAAGATCATTTGCGATCACCGATTCGGCATCCGCATGCGTTTCAATGACTTCAGGGACTACATGGCAGAGCAGGCAGACGTGGATTCGTTGCAAGTGAGTTCGAAAAGCTGATTAAGTACGCACATGTAGTTTTCAGAACCAATAGAACAGGAAGACGACACACCACTCTACCTTTTCGACCACGCCTTCGGTGAGTACCCTTCGACGAAAAACTTGCTGAGCGAGTACGAGGCCGCCGGGCGCAGAGGCGCAGGATCTGTCCATTGTTGAGCACCAATTGGAGGTGCCCGAGGCCTTCCAGAGCGATCTCTTGGCAGAGCTCGGCAGCTTGCTTTGCAATCAGGGGGCTCATGCCGAGGAGGTGTGTCAAAGCCGGCTTGGACCGAGGAACGCTGCGGCCGCCGTTCCGATGGCTCCTGCTTGGACCCCGCCGTGCCTTCGGCGTGGTCGAGAGTTTCTTCAGATTGATGGACTTATGGATGCGGAGGAAGTGCCGGTTGCTTCAACACATGTTCAAGAGCCCATCAACAGGTCGGGATTTAAGCGGCGGTGCTGAGTACTCTGTTTTGCTTGTGGGGACGGTTTGCGCGTGCCATTGAACATTGAGCAGTTGCAGAAATTTCAAGCGGCGAAGGTTCTGGCAGCACTCTCCACAAAGATCCTTTGGGCACGTCGGCCTGGAATGCCCTCGTGTTCGGTCAGTCGGCTCGAATTTGAGGATCAGAATGAACTGCCCAGCGACGCCACTTGTAGCTACAGTAGAGAACTCTGGCTCTGAGCTTTTTACATGCTGTTCCGGCCCAGCGATGAGTGCAGGAGTCTCCGAAAACAAATTCAAAGTCCAGTTCATTTTCTGCCTCCTAATAAGGCAAGAAGCTTTGGGTCCTCTTCCCGCCCTCCACTCCACCGGAGCTCCTTCGCCCCGAGGCGAGTCAGGTTCTTAGGACTCGAATTCTGGAAGAGGGCCTGACAAGACCTGACGTGGCGAGACATCAAAAACGGATTAATGCCGAAGGAAGGGATGCAACCTGTCTCAGCGACAGTATGTCGAAGTACTCCCGAAACTATCAGATTATCAAGGCACTGTGACCGTGGGCTGGTCGTGGTCGCAGGCAGATACGGACTTCAGCGAGGAGTCCGCCTCATGCTGGCAAGCACGGCTGCAGTCGGAGGGATGTGGAGCAAGAATGCCTGGACACAGGCATGCATGCATACACTCAGACGTCAGCATTGAGCCGACAGGACGCATGTGCTTCATTAGACTACTAGTGCCAGAGTCAGAGTCGGTGGGCTTGCGTTTGGTGACCTTGTGTTTTGGGGAGCCACCGTTTGGCAAGGTTTTTGCACTGGTGGAAGTGTCTCAGCTGAAGGTGAGCTGGCAGCGTCAGCGTGCGCATGGATTGGTGGCGAATTGAACGAATTGCCTTTATTCCCGACTGTCACCTAAACTAGTACATGTCTAATCCTGAGCAAGGCCTCGAGCATACACAACTAGGGCTCTCGGGGTACGTAGGCCTTGAAGTTTTCGATCGCAGTCCTTGCAAGATTTGGTGCCGATAGTTCGCTGATCCCAGAAATATTGCATGTGGTATCCTGCTAAAGTGCATGAGTTCCATCGCTAGGCTTTGCATCTGTGAGAGCCCGACGTAAGCGCTCTTGTCCAAGGAGTGCTCGTGCACGGGCATGGCCCGAGCAATTCACGCCCATCGAGTTCCTGCAGCAGCCGGGAGAGGCCTGCTGCGAATTAATTCAAATAATGTTTCATCTTATAAGGCTCCAAATCCCAGAGTCGCAGGCATGGCGACTGTTTGCATGGCCCCTGTAATCATTCATGTCACGATGGTTTCTGCGACAGTTCTTGTTCGGTCGCTTTTGCCAGCGGCGACCGGAAATTGCAAGAACCAGAAGAGCAAGGGTTTGGATTCGACCTTCCATGGCCCCTTCCGATCAACCCTTTGAGCCACGTGCCGCAGCTGCTGTAGCAAGGAAAGACCCAGAGAGGCAAGTCTGACCCTGATCGTCTTTTGGCTCCAGGTTGTGTTCGTGCCCGCACGATGGTGGCATGCTGTCCTGAACCTGGAGGCCTGATTGATTGGGGACGGAGGATCTGGAGGCTGTGTGTACGAGATGCCTACACTAGACCTAGACCCTTCTACGCACTATGGTTGGTTTCCATTGCACTGCAACGAACTCTCTATAAGAAGCTGTATGATCGCTGAATGGTTTGGGCCGCCACATCTCCTCAATCAGCTGTGCTACGCTCCCCAGACTACAAGGATTCACTGGCGGTCACCCAGAACTTCTGCAACGAGTGGAATGTGGGGAACGTTTGGAGGTGCCCGACTTGAACTTGGGATGCGTCGGGCATTCTGAATTCCTGGAGTTCATCTGACCAGCTGTTGAGGGTGTCTGTTCGAGTACAGAGATTGCTCTTGGTATTCCTTTACACTGCAGGCGTTGCAGATGGAAAGCCGGGGGAAGCCTGCGGAGTAGTTTAGGCATGTAGCTCCCAGACTACCCAGGCATCAGATCGACTGCACATAGATTCACGATTAACAGCTATAACTGCCTGCTCCCAGGTGCACATCGGCCACCCACCCTGTCCTGGCGCGGCACTTGCGCCAGAGCTTGAAGTGCCGTCGTCCAGAACCGTGGCCTATTGAGAATGTGTAGGTGCTAGCGGTGAGCCTGTCTCTTTGAGAATTGTGCTATATGTAGCCACCCATGATTGAGCAGCAAGTCTTCGGCTTTACAAGGGGGTCCCAAAGTGCCCTGAAGAAAATGTGCACGATAGCAGTGATTCCCCCAGCCTAAGATCGAACAAGGACTGAGGCGCGTTGTTCTTTGTTCTGTGGAGGAGGGTCGCACAAGCTTTGTCCGAGGATCTTTGCGAATCGCTAATGGCCAAACAACCACAGATGGATGGCGATGATCCCAAGGTGTCCTACGTCTTCGACACTAAGCATTACTTCAGTCAAAAATTTGAGTTTCGTTTGGGCCATTTTGTGTCAATTAGCGAGGACTTGGGATTGTCGGAGACGACGGATCGGTTCAAATCAGATCATCCCTGGCTGAAGCAGTGCCTGTAGCAGCGTGTTGTAACATGCCACAGAGGACACGAGCAGCAGGCAAGTTGCGCTTGACAAGCAGGACTTGCCTGGGATTGTGGGCAGCGTCATGGCCGCTAGTTTGAACAAACACCACCTTTGGAAGCTGACTCGGGTTCGCTCCGTTCAGCAGAGAGACGCACTTGGTCATTGGGTTGTTGTGGTTGGTGTTCGAGCCTTTCGGGGAACAAAAAGATCTGTGTTTGGTAGTTCACGGCAGGAGGAGCCCATGTCCTCTGACGACGAGTATCTTACTTGGATGGCGAACGGCCCCAAGCGGCGGCGCTACAGCGGAGAAGATGCTGCCAAAAGATCTTCGACGTTCTTTGCTGACGTGTCGTGTACATTGAACCCCCTGAATTAGCCTCCGCATGTTGTCTTTCTCTTTGGTCAGATTACTGCGTGCAGAGCTGCCGTTCGAGGCGGCATACTGGCCGCCTGGTCAATGAGGGCTTCGCCTGGAGCGTTGCGAACGTAGTGTTGAGCCTCGGCTTATGAATGGCATTTCCCTAGCCGGCATTTGACAGACTGGGCTGTGAACTCTAAGCCTGAGCTCCCTTGGCTGTTATTTCTTCAGTACTGGTATCTTTTTTTGGTTGGATGCCACCACAAAAGCCCGACTGAAGCAGATCGATACCTGCTAGATCCATGCAGATTCACTTGACCAGTGTGCATCGAGTTACACTCGACACGTACCATCCGAATGCAAGGAATTGGGACGGCCGTGGGGCTCCTCCGGCGGACCATGCTTTGTGCTCTTTCCATAGCTTGTCTCGAGTAGAACTCCTACTCTAAACCTCCTTTATCGGAGCTTGAACCCAAGCAGACAAGCGGGGTCCGCCACAAGCCGAGTATGTAGAGAGTTTAAGGATTTCGGGGTGTTTTGAGCCTCAGCAAGCCGTCCTAGTGCCAGCGATTTGTGACTCGGGATCGCCTCGGCCCCTATGGACTCGATCCGAAACAGCCTCAAGACTCAAGACATGAAAGGTCTCGGCCTCCTGGAATGCCTGGAATCTAATCGCCCAACACAGTCCCGACAATTCCATACGCCTGCGCAAGCGGACACTCGCCACGAAGACCTTCACTTGCTCCCCGCAGTGTACCCCATGTAAACTTCCTGGCCATCCTAGACGATACACTGTGAAAAGCCATGAGCCGATTCGGGCGTTTTGTCCCCAAGTAAAGCTGCGTGACGAGGAGCTTCCGCTTCGACCACCAGGCCCCCCCGAGCCCGTTCCGGCCGCCTGGCTGCAGGCAGCGTGCGGGAATTTGTCAAGGCATGAAACTTCATGAAACTGTTAATCGAACCCCGAGACAAATCATGAAGTCTGGAGTAGGGTAGAGACAACAGTTAGAATTATTCATGGTTGCATTCGGATTCCACGGGCCGTACGGGGCCAGCCCGGCCAGGCACTGCAGTCAGCAATTAGAGCTGGAAGTGCTCAAGTTTGTTTCATGAAACTTCCCCGGTCTTCTTTCGAATTTCTCAACTCAGGAAGACCCCAAGCGACCAAAGAAGTCGCACGCAGAGCAGGCTGGGCTTAAGTACGGTCTGCACATGTGCTCAAGCTTATTGTGGAGCGATTGCAGCTTCAGGTCTGCAGCATTCTCTCTCGGTTAGGTTTAAGCATGACCAACTAGTTAGTTAATAGCATTGGAATTCTTGACGATGTCGGGTAACTCACCATACAGTAAAACAAGCAGAGGCACAGGACGAAGCGCAGCATGTGCAGTGCAAGTGCAGGCAGCCGAGGAAGAGGCGCGCCCGTGCTCGTGTTGCAGTGATGTGTTTGACGTCCGGTTGAATCTGCCTTACTTCTCCGCAGGCTGACCGGAATCTGCTTCCTTTTGGCTCCTCTGAGCTGGAGAAGGTGAAAGCTCGACCTTCGGCTTGCATGCCCTGACGGATGTATGAGCGCACATGCGAGACCGTGCGGACAGTTCTGTGTTGGACAGCACCAGCCGATAGCGCTCTGGACGATGTCACCCAGACGGGCCTCTAGCACACTGGTTCTTCGCGTGGCCTGTAGATGGAAGACCCAAGGAGCGGACGTTCTGTGCTCTTTGGGCTTCGACGACCAGTACATCTATAGCGTGGATGGCAAGGCACTGCGGATTGGAGCAGCAAGCTGCTCTGCTGTACTCGGAGCAGTCACAGGCAAGTTTGGAAAACACTGACATACCTCAAGATGGTTCACATTATTAAAACCCTTTTCCCGGACCTTTAAAAGGCTTCTGCTATCGGCCTTGTACCCTGCTGATTTTCTATTGAATCGTGTCAATATCTCTTACTGTTCTATGCTTCCTTTCTGTTCTTGCACAGCCTCAAGGAAGCCCTGCAGAGCATGCTCGAACCAAGAGTGTTGGAACGCAATCCTTTCTCGGCTCAGATTGACAGAGAGGGCTTGGGGGTACTTTGATTGTCACGCTTCTTTTCCGGCCATGGATGCGGACGCTCGGCTTGCACTTGGGCCTTGGCAGACGGTCGGAACTACAGTGTCGAAACCGCATGCATGGTCCAACGTGGTCTTAGACCTCTACAGCCTTTGAGCCTCTTAGACTCCGCTGCAAAGCGAGCAGAGTCCGGCATCGAAATCTCATCAGTTAGGCGGCTACAGGGCACAAGACCGATCCAGGCCGTACTGAGTGCCATACTGCATCCTGATATGTTCCATGCAGAGCTTTGTTCGGCTCTGGTGACACACCCAGCAGCCTCAAAGCCGCACCTCTCCATCCCCAGGTCGAGATTCGCCTGGCCCACATTCACAGTCACATGTCGCAGTATCGCGAAGCGCAACGACGATATCCAGCGTGAGGGTACACCCAGTGACACCGTATCGTACCATTCTTTTTATACGGAGACAAACAACCTCATATATGCAAACAGATAGATAGATGGATAGATAGATAGATCAGGTAGATAACAGATAGACAAAAAGATAGTTAGATGTGTAGATCGAAGGAAAAGGGCAGATATTATCCGCTCTCCCGTCCATTGGCCATGCGCCCAAGTACTGCAAGCTCAGTCGAACGACAGCCCTTTCAACTAAATGACTACCCAGTCGCCTCGCCCTCGCCGACGCCGAGTTGTTAGAGTGCGAGTGTCGAAAAGGGCTGAGCCCGTCCTCTCTAGGAGACGTTGGTGACCCTGGCCCGTGTGGCCGAGCGAGCGGAGCGCTACGACGAGATGGCGAACTACATGAAGCCCTCTGAAGCAACGCTGTTGGTGTTGAGAGTCTGCGGTTTTGCTTCGCATACTTGTGCGTGTGATTGCCCGGAATAGGGTCCGTCTGCCGGTTGGGGGGGGGACTGGGGCTGGATACCGTTGCATCGTTAGTCATATTTAGTTATCCTCCGAGGGATTAGGCAACACGAAACTCGGTAAATTAAGATAGGAACGTGGTTTCAAGCGACGAAGCTTCCGCGGCAGCAGCTGCTCGAGTTCTCGTTCCACCGACAGCCATCATGATGTCTCAAGTCCGTGAAGCAGGGAATCCTAAAACGCATGCCTTCCGCCGGAAAAGTCTACGATGTTCACCTCAACCATCGTGAAGACGCAAGAAGGTCGTTGTGTCCAGCTTACAGTGGGCCAGCACCACGTGTTTACAGGATCATCTAGGAATGCCTCTTCGTGTTCGGCCTAGAGTCTCTAGAGTGCCCTTGATCCCAACATTCGCTGTTGGTAGCGCTTCCCTCTGAGGATGCGTGTGCAGATGGGCCCGATCCTAAATCCCGAGGACCTGAGCGAAATCTCGACGGGGGTTTGCTAGAGACTGATGCGGATGTGCCCAATCGTTTTTTCTGTGCTCACCAGGGAATGACATTGACATAGCCGTTGATGTGCGAGGAGCGTGACATGTTCTCAGCCGCATTCAAGTGCTCAAGCTGCAAGAGGTACACCAGTTTGAACCCACCACTCAGGAGGCTGCCCATGTTGTGTTGCACTTCTTTTTTGCAGAGGGGCCCGCAGCAAACCCAATAGAATCCCCATAGATGTCCATCAACAGGGGGAGGTCCGGCACTTCGAACCAGCATTGGATGCCACCTATCTATAGCTCTGGCTTTCGAGGTTTTGCTAGTGCCCTGACCTGCCGAGTGCGGGCGTCGGAGAGGGTTGGAAAATGAAGGGACTTTAGCATGACTGCTGAGGGGGGGGAGGTGTGTGAATGCCTGCAGATGACCCGGCACACGGATGGAGACACACATGGAGACCCACAGACAGACAGACAGACAGACAGACAGACAGACAGACAGACAGACAGACAGACACGAACGAACGAACACACACGCGAACACACACACACACACACAAACACCGACAAACACACACACACACACACACGCAAACACACACACACACCCACAGAGACAGACCGACACGGTTTCCGACACACTTTATGCAACAAGCGTCTTCTGCTCAGGAATTCGCTTACCGAGCGCCGCGTGGCGGTGCGCGTGGCTGACGGTGTGGAGCAGGCTCAGCAGTTCGTTTGCGAAGCGCCCGTCCATCCACCACAGGCGTTATACGAGTGAGGGGATTCTCGACTCCGATTCCTTGTCATCGCATCCGACTTTCGGGCCTCGCACTCTGAACTCCTGAAATCTCCGCACCCCATGTTTTCAGACGAATCTTGTATGGTCGCTACGCCGCGGATGGATGTTTCTTCCTCATCTTGACAACTTGTCTTCCCCGTGGCTTCTCCGTGCATGCCCTGTCTGAGGCGACTACGGCAGTAACACTGAGCATGTGTCAGTTATATCAAGTTATATCATCATATCGCGATGCTCGCATCGCAACCTGGACCTGTTTGAACGTTTGCCCTGGTCCTCAGATGGAGACTACGGAGGGCCGCGATGCCCATGCTTCCCTTGCCAAGGGCTATCGCTCGAAGGCGGGTCGCCGAAACTCCATATCCTGTGGCTTGGGGATTGGTGTTTGTGGCTTACCTTCGGGGTACTGCTCAGTAGCCCGCAATGGAGGGGGTTCGTGCCACCATAGGTTTGCAGCGCTGAATGACCGTGTAGCAATCAAGTTCCAGGAAGTGTTTGCCAAGCTAGTCCTTAACGCTGTGCGGGCTCACCAATCGTAAACGTTTTTTCTCACTACTTGGATCGTTCTCATGTGTTTGTCAGTCCTCCGGTTGCAACCTTCGTTAAACGAGGCTGTTGAGGAGTAAAGGGCAGTAATTGTCATAGTAGTTTCCCTACAGGGGGTGGTATTCAATAGATTTTGTGTAGGTGCCTGTTTGTTCATGTCATTTTGTCTGATAACGCCCTTCAGGAACTGATATTATACATATTTACATCCTACTATACCTACAGGTGGCATTAACCTTGTAAACAAAATAAAACCAAATTTGTATCACGCATCCTCGCAGAAGAGGGTGTAGAAATATGATGTCTACTTCATGCGCAACCGTGGTTTAACCGTTGTTTGGGCTTCTTGACTCTGGGCCGCGCACAGGTTTGAGACTTGACACACGTCCTTAACCTGGTGAGGGCATCGAGTTCGATTGCGTGGATACAGGGGGTATAGTAATGATACAGAAGCATAGAAGTCAAACAATTGCGACATCATAATGCGGACGCCCTGAAGGCCAAGGGTACTGTACATCATTCGGAGTCCCAGCACAACTCTTCCTCAACCCATGTTCTACGCCTCCTGAGTTTACTTTTATCATAACAGTAGTGGAGTGAGTTGTGCAATTACATCACACCACCCATAAGGGTACTTACATAACAAAAACGAAGTTTGGTAATTGTGTGTGCGTGTGGAAGTGTTTATGTACACGCATGTGCCACAAGATTAGACATGCATGATCCATGAACACGATCGTGCACACATGCGCGCCGAACTATCCAGAAAACATGAGCCAGCAGTTATACATGTATACATATATTGTTATCATGTGTATATATATATATATGTATATGTACTCACACATGCATGCATACATATATCGGCATAGGTATGCATGCATGTATGTATCTGTGTGTGTGTACACATGCATGCATGCATACATCCACATGTGTGTTCATATGTATGTATGTATGTATGTATGTGTATGTATGCATGCTTGCATGCTTGCATGCATGTATGTAGTTAGGTATGCTTGTATTTATCTCGTTCGTTTAAATTTGTGTGAGCATTTGTTGTATGTGTACACACATTGATGTGTGCTTGTAGATATACCCATGCAAGGGTATATGCATGTGTATGTACATGTAATGTACATATGCATGCATGCAAGCATAGGTAGCTGGATGGATGAATGAACGTACGCCTTCAGATGCACATGCATATGTCGAGGCGGTATGGGCAGAAATGCGTATCGTCTTGAATACCACTCATCATACACATATATATATATATACCCCTTGGATTCGATTCCAATGCGCGGCTGCTTTTCGCATATACACATTCCGTTAATCGAGTCAGAGAGTTGTATGTGTGTGTGTATATGCATATAAACAAATGTATACTATACAGAACTAATTGTGATTGTGCGTGCGTGTATATTTATATATATATATATTTATTTATATTTATATTTATTTATGCACAGAGAGAGAGAGAGAGAGACTAATACAGGGGGTGGGTGGGCGGGCCAATGGTCTGAGGGTCGAGTGATCGACCCCCACGCCCTGCAGAAAGAAAGAGAGAGAGAGAGAGAGAGGAGATAGATAGAGAGAGAGAGAGAGAGCGAGATAGACAGAGACAGCGACAACACGCCTTGCAAGCAGGCAAACAGAGACAGCGACACAGAGAGAGATTGAGTGAGTGAGCGAGTATGTGAGTGTGTGTACGTGTGTGTGTGCGTGCGTGTGTGCGTGTGCAATTGTCGATTAGAGAGGTCGAGGCTGAGCTCCAGAGCATCTGCGAAGATGCCTTGGCCCTGCTCAAAGGCAATCTGGTGCCGAACGCCGAGGCAGAGCAGTTGTGTTACTTGGGAGTCGTACTGTTTGGGTTTTCTGCTTAAAGCTGAAGCGGACGAGGTAACCCCTGCATCTCTATCACAGCACACGTGTACAGCGCGGATATAGAAAGTGACAGAGGGAGATGTCCGAGTTCTTCACAAAGCCGAGCCTCTCCCAGATAAGCCGGAGTCTCACACTTCTGCGTGTCACGTCCGCTCCGCAAGGCTGGGGAGGCCAAGACCTTCTATTTGAAGATGCATCATGCCAGAGATGAGGGTTTACAGGGCTCTGTGCGACAGTACTAGATCTCGCAGCAGTTGTCACGCAAGCCACAGGTGACAAATAGGTTGATGCACCTGAGTGCACTAAGCAGAACGAGGTACGCTAGGATCACTAGAACAGGCACGCGCCAGCGACTTTAATCCCAAGATACGAAAGCCGCGCTGGTGTGCTGGGCTCACTGCCGCAATTTTTGAATGGCGTAACGTTCGCTGTTGATGCAGTTTGTTAACGCCCATGGCGGCAGCCACTGCAAGCCAACATCGGGCTTTGCAGTGGGCGAGTCAGAAAGCTAGTTTCATTGGAAGCTATGAAGCCTGTTGAATGACTATAGTCCAAGGAACTGATCTCTGCTGCAATGGGTCCTGGTCAGTTCTCAATGATTCGGTTCTACTCCTAAGGCAAGGCGACTACTATCGATACCTCGCAGAGTGGCACCATCGGCAGCAAAGAGAACTCTAGACCTTGGAGGCTTCAGACCATTGCAATCGAGGAACGAGAATGAAAACCCCAGATCATTTGACGGGCAGGGTTTAGGTGTCAGAGCGTTTCCGGCTCCTGGAGCTGACTGCTGAAAAGATAAGTGGATGTTGAGTAGCCCTCTTGGGTGGCCAGCTCTTCAGTCCACTTGTTCAGGGGGAATCCTCAAGGTCCGCAAGAGCAACTTTTCTCGGTCCTGTGACATGCAATTGGCCAAGCTGTACTTTGGCATTGGATACCTGGATGCCCCAGCCGATCCCTTTGAGCATCATCCTTCGGATCCTACCAACCCGCCACAGACCCCGACAGTTTGAGTTGAAAATTCTCGAAGCCTGGTGTGTACTATTTAAGCTCCGCATACGTGCTCTGTGCTCAAGTTCGAGGAACCGAAACGAGTCGAAGATGGCGATCGCAGAGGAAGCGAGCAATGCGTACCAGGACCATTGATCACACTGCATTTAAAAAATGTCAAAACGAGAAATAACAATGATACTGATGGCAACCACCAGATACTCGTAGTAATGGTGACCTGAGAGAGACACAGAGCGAGCGAGAGAGAGAGAGGTGAGGGTCGGGGGCGGTGTTGCAGGCAGGGAGGTAGGCAAG